AATTAGAAACCATTGCCAAATAGGCAATAGCACTATAATTTTTTTTGGATTCCTTTGACTAATTCAAATTGTTTTGTTTTGTTTTTGATAACCGTTGAAATGTTTGGCTTGTCCTCGACGAGTAAAGGCAATCTCCTGATACATGAACCTAATTCAATGTCTTGCATACCCATCTAACTAGGTTGCTGTCTGTTCTGTAAAACATGTGATAAACTAATGATTAGTATCTTCATAGTCTTAAAGGGACCCTACCCTGTATCATTAGCAATCCTGTTTAAAAACCATGACTTTTATAATGGTGGGCTCATTGGGCATTAAAGTAAGTGCCCAAAAGGTTCTTGATAAGCTTGGGATAACAGAAGGTGTTCCACTTAAGGATGTCAAATTGCCAACCCCATATACTTATATTCGATTTGAATTTTTTCTTAATAATAATATATTTATCAAAAACTTAAGTATCAAGAGGAACTTGCTATATAAGTGGGTCCCAATTGATATAGGATAGTGATCTATCAGTGCAGAAAATTAGGAAGAAATGTATTAGCAGGATTTGAATCTATTAGTGTATACCAAACTTTTGTCCATGTGAAAGGTATGAAATGGCCAATAGTGGATTCTTCTCTCTCTCTCTCTCTCCACTCTCATATTCCAAACCTTTTATATTCCACTTAGTGGGGTGATTTGTCAATAATTAGGCATTTTGTCACTTATTAACTAGAAAAAGATTTAATGACCCAAATTAAAAAAAAAACACTTGAAAAAGAGATTTATTGTAATTCATTCAACTCAATATCATAGTCAACCGCAAATAAACCTTAGATAAATCTCCACTATATTTGCTAGTGCGACACCACCAAACAATACACATTCCTCCAAAAAAGAAACTTATTATTTCAACACGTCATACACATCAAATAAATTAATGCTCGTGAGAGTCAAACTCAAAATCTATATCTAAAACCCAAATTCTTGATCTCAAAAAAGTCATATTTAATGCATAAGACTCGCCTGTAACTAGAGGTGGCAGTCTTAACTTATTACCCATTAATTGATCTAACCCGCTCATAAATAAATGGTTTAGGTACCTATATAAATTAATATGAGTTTTAAATGAGTCGGGTAATATGATTCATTTTAATTAAACAGATTAATATGGATTACAAGTGAATACCCATTGAGTTAAGTATTTATCCTTTTATTAAATAACACAAGTAATAAAATTAAATAAATATACTAATAAACAAAAAAATACACATATATACACTAACATATCAAAACATACATACACTAGCACACAAAAAATACACACACTAATACACCACTCATGACCCACGAGTCGACCCAGGACCCACAAGTCAACCCACAACTCATAGGTTGGCCCGTTACCCACGACCCCCATGACCTACGGACAAACTCATAGCCCACAATCGACCTAACCCATTATGTGCTTATTTTTTTTAATTAAATGTGTTTTAGTTTTTGTGTTAGTATATGTTTGTGTATTTTTAGTGTATTAGTGTGTATATTTTTAGTGTATTAGTTTGTGTGTGTTTTAGTGTATTAGTGTGTGTGTACATATTTTGGTGTATTACTAATGTGTGTGTGTGTATGTATTTTAGTATATTAATGTGTCTATTAAAAATTTTAATTATTTTATGGGTTAATTGGTTATAAACGCAACTCATTATAACTCATTTATTATATGAGTGAAAAATGAATTGAATTTTTTTTAACCCAACCCATAACCAACTCAACCAATGTATTTGTCATCTATACTTGTAATAGAATTTGAGAGAGGTAAGTAATAAACAATTTTATTTTATTATAAAGCGATTGTTTCTCGAATTTACACTCAGGATGTACATGGGTCGACCAGATGAACACTTTTCATTGCTAGAGATCCGACCTCTACTCGAATTCAAATTTTTTTTACATGATTGTGTCCTCCTTGGTCATCATTAAATCATTTATGCATCACTAAGTTGGGTACTTGTCTGGACGTGGGTCCCCTCTCCTCCCTCTTTGCAATTATGCATTTGATGATGTGAGATGCCAACTACTAAAAATTTGTAAAGTTTGTGGCATATACATACATTGTAGCTGAAAGGGGCATCTCTGGCCACATTGAGCTTTGTCAGTACTGTAACATATGATCAACGACAAGCATTGTTTAATGCATTTGTCTGCAGATTTTTCACACAACTTGGAGAGGTCCCAATCCCTTTTATTTAAACTACCGAACGGTTGTTCTTCCACGCTTACGAAAATTGAATGGGGCTAAACCTATTCTTTAGTGTTTAGAGTTGTGGATCCCTATAGATAGTTGTGTAGTATTAAGGGACAATACTTCCTGACGAATATATAGAGTGACCTATTTGTATATTCATTTTTTATAAAAAAAAAAAATGTTTTTAAAGTGTTGTAATGCGGTGATGCTTTCGTTAATTTTCATTTCTCATTCCATCAACGTCAATCATTTAAATTTTAGCAAAACAAGTAACGAAAATTAATAAAAAGGCTTAGAGTATTACTATACATGATTAGAATATTTAATGAGGACACATGACAAAAGTGAGAAAAGAAAATATGACAAAAATAGAATATATCTGACCGAGCTATAACGAGTTTTTTTTTTTTTTTACTACATAGTGTCTAGGCTTGTGTCGATTATTCCTTCAAATTCTGAGATTGGCCACCGTAACTCGAACTACTTTAAAAATATGTCACCTCAAGAATTATAATAACGAACCTTTAAAAAATATAAAAAATATTGAACTTGAGATATCTGATCCAAGTTGATCAGGATTGGAACCTCCTTATTGAATAGCTCGATTTGCATGCCAACTGAGAAGTTGGTAGAAACCGAGCAAATGCAAATTTGGTATCCTGAGAGAAACTCTTTAACTCCGTAAATCAAGAGATAAGGAATTATCTAGAATATAGCAAATAAGGCGGTTGTGGACAATAAGGAAATTGCCTATTCCATAGGTGTACATTAACAATATGTCTAAAATATCGACTAATGAGTAGGGTGACAATTGTCTTGGGTCGGATTGGATCATGTCGTGTCCGTGTATTATCATTTCGGATTTCTATCAAATACTATTTAATTTTAGCTTAACTTATTTAACTAATTGTACTATGTCATTTTGACTTATTTATTTTCGTGTTGTGTTCGTATTGATCCATATAACTCGTGAATAAAAAATTCAATGCTCACTTTTATGTCTAAAATTTTATTATCACTTAATCGAATTTATGCTCATACTTTTTCTATAAATAAAATTAACGTAATAAATAAAATAATAAAAATGGGTAAAAATATCTTTTTTGGTACAAGAATTAGGTTACTATTTGATAAAATATAATAAAAAATTGACATTTTATTCTTATAATATTACTTAAAACTTGTTAATGATGTCAATTTCGTGTTATTTATGTTTGACATTAATTCAACTTATTTATTATTCGTGTGAATGAGTCATGTCATATACGAGTTCGTGTCGCGAAATGATCAATCTTCACCCTCTAATTTCGTGTCAATTTTGAATCTTATTTTTTGTGTTATATCAGAAATCACCATATCTATTAATAAGAAAGAAAACCTAGGAAGATGAAACATGAATTTAGAAAAATTTGAGTGAAAAATAGGTATGTCACCTTGGCTAATCACGAACCTAAATCCAAAAAGATGGGTACAAATCCCTATAAATACTCGATAAATATAGGAGTATCAAATCCTCTTCTATAACAGCTTATTCTCTCTGTAGACAAAGGTGCACTTTAGTCGACAAATTCAAACCAGAATTTACGTATCATCACTCAAAAGTGTCAGATTTTTTCCCCTTACACATGTTATAACTTTTAATATGGTATGGTCAAAAAAATGTATGATTGATTCGAGAGGTAAACATTGATTAGATTGTCAGCATTTCAAAATGGGGGGAGGTTGGAATCTAATGGAGTGTGGACTAGGGGGCCTAAGCACCATGCTTGTACAGGTCCACACCATGCACATATCCAAAACGACAAACAAAATGCAGCTGTCTCCATTATTATATCAAAAACTGTTCAAAGAAACCCACCCAAATTCCAATCTTTCCCATTCACTTTTCTTCACAAATTCACTTTCTACCCCTAGATATATCTTTGACAGATAGAGCAGTTAATATCTTGTTCATTTCAAAATTCATTCGATTGATATTCAATTTATTTGTGATTTTGTATAGTCGAGCTTGTTTTTATTTGATTCGTGTCGTGTATAAGTTATGTTTAATCAAGTAAAAACATGTACACCATTTATTTGAGTGACTTATTATTTGGGTAAGTCATGTATACAATCCTAAGTTACACAGTACAAAAATGGGGTTGAGAGCGAGAGTACAAAAACAGAAAATTTCAAAAAAAATTCAGAGCATGAGTTTTTTGAGAACGACTTTGTTGTGTTTGGGTCGGTTACAATTAAAAATTTGCGTTTGAGTTAAATTTTAAGTTCATGAATTTAGATGTTGAATTTGCAAATTAAGTAAAATGAGAGGGGGAAGTTATGCCGGATTCACTCTTAATTTGAGAATTTGAGCTCGGAGTGCTAAAACCTAGGGGTTGGGGGACGAATTATGTGACTAAGTTACAATCCACCCACATTTAAAAATTGAACGGGTTTTTGCAGATATTTTTATCGAACTAGTCAACTTGTTGATTACCCGAACACGACACCGTTAAAATTGCTACCTAAAATTTCACTAATTTCATGTTACTAGCTCTACTCACGAGTCAAATAGGAAGCGTCGGCAGCTTGGAATTTTCTATACAATCTTTTTGAGACAGAAAGTGAGTGATGAGTGCGTAGGATAAGCAGAAAGTGGTGTGTTTGGGTGTCACTCATGGGGAAAAATTACTTCTTCTGAGGGGCTCTCGGCTACAAAACTGCGCCAAGTTTTGAAATTTTGGCGGTGCATTTTAGCGAAGGGAAGAGAAAGGTGAAGCAGGTGGCGGAGGGGATGAAGATTGGTTATTGCTTAGTGGTGGTGGTGTTGTTCATGGTCCCTCTGTGCTATGCCACCAGATTGAGTGGCGTCTCTTCCCAGAAGCTTGAGGTTAAGAAGCAATTGAACCGTTTAAACAAGCCTTTCCTCAAGTCCATCAAGGTCTCCCCATACACCCTTTTCCTCTCTCTCTTTCTCTCTATCTACCTATCTAGTGAATTGTGTACATGTATTGACCAATTGTTTTTCATGGTTGTCAAAAACAGAGCCCAGATGGGGATACAATTGACTGTGTACATATCTCCCACCAGCCAGCTTTTGATCACCCTTCCCTCAAAAACCATACAGTTCAGGTCTCTCTCTCTCTCTCTCTCCCATGCATTTGTACATACAGTTTGGATTCTGAAGATGGGTGTTTTTTGTTTGTTGTAGATGAGGCCAAATTATCATCCAGAAGGGCTGCTTGATGATAACAAAGTGTCCAATTCAAAATCCCAAAATGATGGGTCAAAACCAATTGCTCAGTTATGGAACTTGAATGGAAGGTGCCCAGAAGGAACCATTCCTATCAGAAGAACAAAGAGAGAGGATATCCTCAGAGCAAGCTCTGTCGAGAGTTTTGGAAAGAAGAAGAATTCTAGTGTCCCTAAACCAAAGTCTGCTGGACCTGACTTCATCAGTCAATATGGCCATCAGGTACACCCACAGCCTATAGATACATATGCTCCCTATGACTCATGGTTCAAAATATCTGATATAGATACGATTCGACCTAGAATGAAACCTTTCGTTCCGACACGTTTCGTGTAAATAACGACCAGAACCGTTGACACTCATATAAAACTCAGCCAAGTCCTTTGAGCCATCTTCATCACATCTTAATTGTAGCATATTTCACATCGACGTGACTGATACGTCTACCCTCTCAATACGTCATACAACGTCCTTGAACCATGACATCACAACAACACATGAAAAGAAAACTTTTTTTTTTTTTTAGCTTTCTTGCTTTATGTTGGTCTCTTTTCTTTCTTAATGATTTATTTTTTTCTGGGGTTTTGTTCTGGAGTTTTTTAGCATGCAATAGCTTATGTTGAAGGAGATAATTACTATGGAGCAAAGGCAACCATTAATGTATGGACTCCCAGAGTACAGCAACCCAATGAATTCAGCTTGTCTCAGCTATGGATCTTGGGAGGCTCTTTTGCTTATGACCTCAACAGTATTGAAGCTGGCTGGCAGGCAGTTATCTTTTCACTCACAATCCTCCTAATTCATATATGTGTGTGTGTGTGTGAGTGCGTGAGTGTACCAATTTTTTTGTTCTGATTTTAAATTGGTTTTCCATCTACTGGGAGAAAACAGGTAAGCCCAGACTTGTATGGAGACGACAACGCTAGACTTTTTACCTATTGGACAGTAAGTCACCATATACCCATCCTTTTTAAGTTCCTTTTTTGCTCGGGAAAGACTACGGTATCGAATTTGATATTGTAGCAAAAGTTAAGATTGCAAAAAAGCTTGTTACAACTCAAATGAAATCACTTTACAACTCAAAAAGGTCATCAATCGAGGTCAAATTATGCCTTCAAATCGATTTGAAACAACCAGTAATCTCGTCCAATTAAGTCAGAATTTCATCC